TCTCTCTCTCTCTCTCTCTCCCTCTCTTGCTCTTAACTATATAAGTCCAAATGCTGACAACATACCTACAGTGGTCGCTAGAGGTCTTTTGTTGGAGTCTGCTTCAAAAAATTTCATTTCACTCCTCTGCCATTTTCAGTTTAGTACAACTGTTTTTTTAAAGGAGAATGAATACTTTCTGTGTTTTTTAAACATTTTATATGAAGCATTTTAAGCCAGTAGAAACACAGGCAAGAATCTCTCTCCTACATACTGGCTCCCACAACTGACAACCTGTGGCCAGTGTTGTCGTATTTACAACCCTATACTCCTCTCTCTGTTGTTTTGAGGGGTAACCAAGACATGTATTCCATCTACATATATTCCAGCATTTCTCTAAAGAATAGGACTTGTACATATAATTACTTCTAAATAATTTATTAAACATCTAGTCAGTCTTTACATTTCTACTTTGCTTTAGACAGCATCTCGGTCCTTTGCCTAGTCTGGTCTTGGATTTGTGGCATTCTTCCTACCTCAGCCTTCCCAGTGCTGAGCACGCAAATGTGAACCACCCAACATGGCTTGCTTTCAATACATTTTGCTTGTTTCCAAATTCCTTTGCTTTCTAAACATTTTGCTTGTTTCCAAATTACTTTATCTCCAAAAATATCACACCCTAAATTTTCTAGGTTTGGTAAGGCAGGAAGAATAAATCATCTTGATGATTTAGTGGTATACTGTATGACAGCACTTGGCAAGGACAGAGCAATTGACAGGTAATATAACATAATATGATATGATACAGATGACAATAACTGTAAAAACAATAAGATGATAAAGACAATGGTGATATAATCCACAATGGGCTCTGCCTACTAAGTAAAAGAGCTTCATGAAAATAGTGTCTTCACAATATTGGAATAGAAAGTAAGCTCTGGAATGACATTTTTCTAGGATGAAGAAGAAAAAAATGCAGGAAGCCTGATTGCATATCAAGCCCCCTGACACTCAGAGAAACACTTACAATTCTAACATTTGGTTCAAATGCGGACACAACTAAAATCAATGTCATCCAACCCCAGACCAGGACTAATTTCCAAGTGGGGTGTTGCACAGTCTCAGTGTGCGATTTCCCCATAGACTCGTCTGTCTGAACATTGGTCCCCAGACACTGACACCATTTTGGGAAGTGGAGATTAGACGGAGGAAGTAGGTTGACGGGACAGGAATGGAGGTCTACAGCCCAGTTCCACTCCCGTTTGGTCTCTGCTTCCTGACAGTCGATAGGATGCCACATACTCCTGTCACCACGGAGCTTCCAGCCACCGTGACTTTCTTACCCCAGTGGACTGTGATCCCAATTTGTAAGCCTGACAAAATCTTTCCTTCCTTACATTTTTTCCCACCAGGTATTTGGTCACAGCCACAAGAAAAGTAAATAACACAGAAAGCTGGTGACAGAACTGGTCTGCAGGAAAAGTGTTGAGGTTCGGAGCTGTGATCTAGAGAGGTCCTAAAATGATATTAAAAGACCAGAATGCCAACACAAACGTTTACAGGAGAGACTGTGATCATGAGGTTTCGGAGCCAGGTAAGGCCTCCTGGGAGCAGGGCTAGAGGCCATTTGTGTAATTGACTGGCAAAGAATGTAGCTGTGTCTGCCCATGTCCTGAGAACGTGAGCTGAGCTAAATCCACCAAGCTGTTTGGAAGAGAAAATTTCAAGACAGAATAATACCCAGGTTCTATGGTGATTATTACTTCCATCCAGAGTTGCAGAAAGCAAGATCCAAAAGATACAAAAAAAAAAAAAAAAAAAAAAAACAAAGTTTGGAGAGAAGGGGAGGTTACAGCCAGCCAATGTTGAGAACAGGCAAATATGGTGGCTATAACTGTTGGTAAGATTAGCATCATCAAGGAGAACACTCAGACTTCACAGTGGGGCGATGAAGAAGTACCCTGAGGACAAGACTCTGCCTGCAAATTCATTTGAAAAGTGATTGCTTAAACAGGGGGCCTCCATGGTGCCCTCCTCCAGTAAGGACACTGATGAGAATATTTTCAAAGGTTCAACTAAAAGGAGCGTAGAGGCTAGGATATCTGTAGTCAGAGGGGGCTGAGCAGTAGAACTTGGCATCATCCCTATGGTACTAGTTTTGTGGTCATGAAACATGCAAGAGTAAGGGGAGGTGGGTCTTAGAGGCTTGCACCAAGTTTCAAGAAAGCTTCTGAAGCTAAATCGGGTTCCCTGGATTGATTCCTAGAGCGGGCTATGCATAAAGCTATGAAGACAGTGCCTAGATTGTAACGGAGACCCCTGAGTATTAGCTATTCCAAAGCCACGGCACATTTGCCGAGGAAAGCTGAAGACAGTAAATTGAGCTGGCCCGTGAGAGAGGCTTCAAATGCTGCAGCTCAGAGAGCTGATGGAGCAGGCTTACCCCAGCCCGCTGTATCACAGTTGGTGCCGTCAGACGCTCCAGATGCCAGACACCGAGCTATAGTTTGGTGTTGGCCTCGCTGGGGTTTGATCTCGTGTTGGTCTGGCCTTCCCATGTTACCCTCATGTTCTTCCTTTTTGTTTTCTGTTTGATGTTTGGTTTGTTTTTACCCATTTGTGAAACTTTATTGGTGCTAGGAGAAGGGGACTTTGATGACTGTGTGGGTCTAATGTATCCAAGGTAGAGAAAGAGCAAGTGTTAAGGCCTGGCCACGGTCGGCCAGGGAAGACAGAATTGCCACCCAATGCACCGGGACGAGTAACTGCCGGTGCTCCAAGGGCAGGAACCCCTCCACAAGCACGTGCAATGAGACTTGATCCGTGACTAGTTCCTGCCGTCACATCAGCAACTCCAAGTCCTCTGGCTTCACGGTCTTGCTGCCAGTGTGAGCGGCA